TGTGTCCGACCAGGGGAGTGCTCACAATCATTGTTTTATCCATACTGAATCTCTTCAATATCTAAATCACTTCATAAGTTGTTCGTTCATCTAAGATATTTGAAAATTCACTTGATTGCTTCCCAATATTCTCGGTCGGGATTAGGTAAATACTGGCTTACCATTCCAATAGCATATGCTAGGTTAAGTCTAGTACATACCATCGCATACATCAAGCTTTTGACTGAAGATTAGTACGAGATCTTTAGCATCTCATCTTTCTCCTCATCAGTCCTTGGACACTGCCTCTGACTTAGCTTTATGTGTCCGGCTATGGAAATGCTCAAAATATTGGCTTTGTTCATGCTGAATCTCTTCAATATCTTCTCAATATAATTTTATTGAGATAGCCATAGTAGTTTTCTCGGTCAGTCTATTATAATCTTTATCCTAAGAATTTGCTTTACAGGGCCAAGTTCCTTCATTGAGAAAGATGAGTTCAACGCCTTCTTTAGGGCGATAATCTTCATTTTATCTTCCCATACAATCAATATGTCATCAACATACAAAAATAAAATGAGAAAATCTTCGGCCTCATACCTCTTAACGAATACGCAATGGTTGGCCTCTGTCTTCATGAACTTGTGCTCGGTTATGAAGGATTCAAACTTCTTATACCATTGCCAAGGTGCTTGCTTCAAGCCATACAAGCTCTTCTTCAATTAGCAAACCTAATCTTCTTTAGCTACCGCACGAACCCTTTATGTTGCTGCACATATATCTCCTCTTCTAGGTCGCTGTGAAGGAATACAATCTTTATGTTTATTTGCTCAATCTCTAAGTCCATAGATGCTTCCATAGAAAATACCTCTCGAACTAAAGTCATCTTCATAACATGAACAATTATTTCATCAAAATCTGCACCTTTCTTCTAATTGTAGCCTTTCATTACAATCTTAGCTTTGTATCTCAACTTTTGGCTAGTCGCCTCATGCTTGATTTTATAGATTCATTTGTTCTTTAGAACTTGTCTTCTTTTAGACTGATCAGTCCATTCATAAGTTTGATTATCTTGCAGAGACTTCATATCTCCTTGCATTGCCTTTTCCTATTCATTCTGATCGGGGCTTGACATGGCTTCTTCGTAGCTTTGGTGTTCTCCTTCTTCAGCCACCACAATATACTCATCAGGTGGATAACTAGTGGGCGGTCGCCTCACTCTTGTAGAGTGTCTTATTTTTGGTCGGTTAGTTTGAGAGTCCTGCACATCATTTTCTTCTAGGCAATCAACATCACCATGTACTTCATTATTGTCGACCAGTAGCTCTTCATCCCGGTCGATATTCTCTTCACAATTTTCTTCCCTTGTTTTTTCCTAAACATGGGGAACATATTCTTCATGCTAGTCGGTAACACAAATTTTGGGCTTCGAGATATCTTTCATGATCTCATCTTCATGGAAAATAACATCTCAACTTCTCACAAATTTTCTGTTGGCAAGATCCCAAAATCTGTAACCAAACTCATATCTCAGTTAATCGAGATGTATGTATTCTTTAGTCTTGGCATCAAATTTTGCATTCTCATCTTTGGGAATATGTACAAATGCCCGACAAACAAACATTTTCAAATGATCATAGGTTATTTTTCTACCGGTCCACACTTCTTTTAGAATTTCTCCTTCAAGTGGTCTGAATGGTGACAAATTTATAAAGTCTACAGTTGTTCGAACGGCTTCACCCGAGAATGATTTAGGAAGCTTGGCATGCATGAGATAACAAACATCTGACCTTTTCTTCATTTGTTCAATTCATTCACTTGGCAACTTTGTTTAGCCGATAAGTCATGGGGGGGCGTCTTCTCAAGCCTTATACAGCCCGCCTGGCAGTAAGCATCAAATGGGCCATAATATTCTTCCCGCATTAATCGATTGAACCATTTTTAGCTTCTTACCAATTTCTCTTTCTACCATGACATGAAATTTCTTAAATGCTTGGAGAACCTGGTCTTTAGATTTCAATAAGTACACCCACACTTTGTGGGAATGGTCATCAATACAAGAAATAAAATATAAAACCTCACCGAGCGATCTCTGCCCAATGGAGCAGGCGTCGGTGTGGACGAGGTCAAGAATATACATGCATCGTTTAGGCTGATCCGATCAAACAAAGGATACTCTATGCTGCTTTCCAACAAGTACAATTCTCCCACTGGTACAAGTTGATCATGTCCACACACACACACAAATATATATATATATATATATATATATATAGGGCATGTTATTCTTACACCTTACATCAAATCTTGATCATTGACTTCTTGGATATAAAATTTCTCATATCTAATGAATCAGAGCCACTTAACATAAATGAGATTAACAACTAAGATTAAAAGTGTAACTTACATTAGAACCGGACTGGTCATTGACCCGGTCTAGGTACCGGGTCACTGGGTCAATGGTTCAACCGGTGGGTCACTGGTTGAACCGCATGAACCGGATATATATATAAATTTATATTTTATACTTAATTATATAATAAATATATTAAATGGTGCCATCTACACAATAACCTGATGTAGTTTAGTGGTATTTGCTATGTTGTTTATCCTTAATGCAAGGGGTTCGAACCCCATTACAAATAATTCTCTTAACTTAAAAGTGATAAATATATTAAATGGTATAAATTATTCAACAAGTGATGGTGGCGTAGTGGTAGGAAACGACTCTCTTTAATTTTACATTACAATCGATGCCGATTGTACATCTTATATTTTCTCTTTTATCTCTATTCCCCCCTTCTTCTTTTCTTCATATGTATATTTTTTCTCCAATACTTTTATCTCTATTTTGTCTCTATTCTCTTATTTTGGTATTCTCTCTTATCTTTATTTTTTCTCCTATGCTCTTATCTCAATTTTCTCTCTATTCTCTTATCTTTATTTTTTTGTTCCTTCTTATCTCTATTTTTTTCTCCTATGTTCCTATCTTTATTTTCTCTCTATTCTCTTATCTTTTTATTCTCTCTTATCTTTATTTTTTAGTTTCTTCCTACCTCTATTCTTTCTCCTATGCTTTTATCTCTATCCTCTTATCTTTATATTCTCTCTTATCTTTATTTTTTAGTTTCTTCTTATCTCTATTTTTTCTCCTATGATCTTATCTCTATCTTCTCTCTATTCTCAATTCTCTTATCTTTATATTCTCTCTTATCTTTATTTTTTTGTTTCTTTTTATCTCTATTTTTTCTCCTATACTCCTATCTCTATTTTTACTTATCTTTTTATTCTCTCTTATCTTCATTCTTTAGTTTCTTGTTATCTATATTCTTTCTCCTATACTCTTATCTCTATTTTCTTATCTTTATATTATATTTTTCTTTATTTTTAAGTTTCAAAGCAATCCCCACTTCAGAGATTATCATGTACCCAATTCTACAACACACTTCTAAACCTCAAAGTCCGTTATTAAATAATATAGCCTCACTTGCTTCTTATCATGAAAACCATACAAAATGTGGGATCATATGAGACTAAATCTTTGTCTTCTTGAATTAAAGCAGTGTGTTTCCCTTTGTATTTTTCCTTTCAACAAGAGTAAGTTCTAAACTTTTATTCATGCATTTTCAAGAACCTATGAGCTAACTTAATATGATTATGCAATGTGTGATGAAACCTTTTCCCCTTCTCCTCCCTTGTCATTGAAACGTTAGATATTATAGCGTGCTCTAAAATTGCTTGAACTACATCTTGCTTTTGGCTTCAGAAAGTACTTTCCCATGTTGAAAGAAAAATTTCAAGGGAATCAACACTGCTTTAATTCAAGAAGGCCAAGATAGTCACATATGCACTCACAAATGTCATTGCAATTCGAAAGATACTCAAGAAATATGATAAGGTGCGTTTGTCTATTTTGGTTCTTGAGATAGATATTAAATTCCTCCTTTTTATTGATTTAAATATTTTATATATTAATTTTTAGGGTTTAGGATTTACATAAAAGTTATGTGTAGTGTTATTCATATAATAGTTAGACTCATTTTTATTTCTAAGTAACTTTTCAATTCTGACGGTTGAAAAATCTCAAGCATTTATGATTATTAGATTTATGACACTGAAATTTTATTAGTTTTGAGTAGTTTTATTTTCATCCAATAAAGTGATTAACCCTTTGTTACAATTTAAAATTTAGAAAAAATAAATAAATCTTCTCATTATATAATAAGTAAGATATCTATTTAATATTTATCTTATATATATTTATAAAATATTTGACCCATTTTATGTTAATATTACAGTATAAATAAAAAAATATCTTATGAATGAAATATATATAAATCAAATAAAATTATAAAACACAAGCTTGTGCACAAACCACCCAAAGCAATTCTTGAACTGCTGATTTTAAGTCCAATAATTAAGTATATTTAAATGTAATTTTTAAACTTATAAAATTAGTTTGCATGTGTCACTTTTGTGCATAAACTATAAATGATTGAAATTGGTTCAATACATGCTACATGTGTATTGCAATAGTGCAATAAAATAAGGGGGAAATAACTCTCATATTGTAGGAAAGTTATTTTTTTTTTATCAGTAACTCTTCAATTTTCGTGTAATATTTTTTTTTGTTTTTTTAATAGATATAAGTCACACACAAGATGAATCTATAGCATTAGATATCTATTTCCTACTGCATGAAAAAATTGAAACCCATAAATAAAGCCCTCAGGAGATAGAGTTTTCCATACTTTCCATTTATTTCTTCCTTTTGTTTATTTTTGTAGACACCCGTTTATGTTCTTGTGGATTTACTATTCTCTTCTAACCTGCAGTGTTGCTATTTGCTTCATATATTAGTCCACACACAGGAAAGGACCGTATTAATACCTTTTTAACATTCTCATTGAAGTTATGCACTGTTGCTGCTATTCAATCTTCTCAGGATTCAAAAACAACATTGCATACTGCTAAATATAATCAATCACATACAATTTACCAAAAAATAAAGATAACCCCACAAAAACTATTCTAACATATATGTTATAATATGTGTACTTTACAAACGACTCAAGATAATCACGTGGTTATACATAAGGTATACAAGAGGATAGGTATAAATTGTGATTCCATATCTTAAAAGAGCTACAAGAAACAAAACTTATAGAAGGTAAAAAAGAATGTAATGACAACTTTTCTTCAACTAGACATGTTATAAACAGGTAGATATACAGTTTAATCAAAATGGGCAGAGAAAAATAATAAGCTTGATCAGCTACTTTGAAGCCAGTCCTGGATTGCAGAGCGAAGAGCACGGTTGGGAACAAGATTGTGATGTGCAAGCTGCAAATTTGTCATTGGTGAAGTGTCATGACCACTGTCAAGCCATCCTCTTATAGCCTCAGCTTCATAAGTAAAACCATCCGGAGCTACATGTGGATCTCGCATGACTTCCTGCAAAGTAGGAACATAATCATGGGGAATTTTCTTAGATAACACTTTAATATTCAAAGCTATATCATTCAATTATAGAGGACAAGACTCAAAGAGTGGTAAAGCTATTACTTTGTGATTGAAATATCTCGGGTTCAAATCCAAGAAACAGTCTCTTTGCAAATATGCAAGAGTAAGACTGCATACAAGAATTGCTCTCACCCCTATCCTCGCTAGTCAGGATTTAATCAGGAGTGATTTTTTTATATCAATCAATTCATTTGGAAAATGTTGTGCAAGTGAAGAAAATAAAGATATGAAATAAAGTAAATTAAAAATAAATAAATAGGAAAAGGCAAGCATGATATCCTTGACTAACTTTGCAATGAAAAATGAGAATTTTGATAAAGTTTCATTTCCAAGGACAAGTGTTCATTGGTGTGGAGATCCCAAAACATCATGAGGACATAATATTTGAAATGAACTGAAAGAGCTAGTTACCTGGAAGATTGGACAAATAAAATATGAAGGAGGTTCACAAAGCCCTTCAGAACTTAGTCCAAAGGAGTTTGTGCCTCCAGAAGAAGCCCTCATTGAATTCAGTATCCTCCAGACATCTGAACTAAGGTCTGGCCGGCTTCTTCTGTTCATCTCACAACACCTCAAAGCCAAGTGAGCCAACTGTTCAGCCTGCACAAATGGCCAGTCTCCAGCCAAAGGATCCAATAACGATTTCAACTTTCCGGTATCTAATGCATATTGCACTTCCTTTGTTATTCCCAAAGCTGGTCTCCCAGTCAACAATCTTAATAATATGATTCCAAATGAATAAACATCTGACTTTTGAGTAAGTTCCCCTGAAGCAAGGAATTCAGGATCCATGTAGACAAAAGTTCCCTTCGGGTCAGTTCTCCAAAACTGTGTTGCAGTATTACTATAATTGTGATGAGATAATATGCGACAGATTCCAAAGTCACTAAGCTTACTAACAAGGTTCGCATCAAGGAGAATATTGGAGGGTTTTACGTCACCATGCACTATGCTGTGAGGTTTACAGGAATGGAGGAAGATGAGAGCAGAGCACAGTTCTGCAGCAATGCGAGTTCGAGCTTGCCATGATAATGGAGGAGCATTATCCTTGCAGGCAAGACGGTCTTCAAGGCTTCCATTAGGTAAATACTCATAGATAAGAGTCCAAGATTCTGGGCAGGCTCCTATAAGTGTGATAAGATTGGGATGCCTTAGCTTGCTCAATACATCAACCTGATACAAAACCACAAGTGGGGTTAAAACAAATATCCTTTTCACTACAAATCTGGATCCTCTATCCCTTCTTTTTAGAGACAAAGTTGATAATATATTATGCCAAGGTGTAACAACAAAGTTTTAGAAAATATGCAGAAGCACGGGAGTTCGGATTTCAGAAGAAATTAATGTGACTTTTTTAAAATTTGTTACTGCTCAGTCTTATCAGTTTTCTTTTATACTGATATTTATTATTTAGAGTGCAATCCAAAAGTTACAAGCAAGATCAGTTAAGGCCAAATTTATTTCATTCTTGGACACATAACAACTTGCACATTATCTTAAGAATTTTCAGATTATAAATGCTACAGGACAAATACATTATTGTTGATCAAAATAAGATGATGTTTAAACTATCACACAAAAGTCAAACCAGCCCACCTCCTGTTGAAACTCCATGGGTCCTTGCAAGCTGCTGGCGTGCAACAATTTTATAGCCACCTCGGTGTGACGCAGGATACCTTTAAATATACTTCCATATCCACCTTCTCCTACTTTTAGGGATGGACTGAAGTTATTTGTTGCTTCTTCAATCTCTGAAAAAGAGAATTCTGCGAACAATTGAGGCATGTGGGTGCTTGAGGCCTCTCCTTGTTTTTTCCTCAACTCCTCAGCATCTCTCAATGCATTATCACGTTGAATCTGCAACTCATCTCGTTCATTCTTATAGCTTTGTAACAGTTCCACAGCAGATATAATCTTCTGCTCCAACTCCTTTATCGTAAGTTCCAATGATGCAATTTGACTCTCTAGTGATGACTTCTGATCAAGGGTAAGTTGGAATTCATCCTTAACCTTGTCTCTCTGGCTCTTCATACTATCAAGTTCTTCTCTTTGGTTTTTCAGTTCTTCCTCCACCATTTTCCTCAGGTTCAACTCCTCTGTATATAAGCTTTCAGAAGCTTTAGCCTGTCAATTGGGTGGTTCAAACATTTGAAAGGATTAGGGGGCGTATCAAGTTGCAATCTCAGCACATGACTAGATAATACAACCTAAAATGATGCTTATTCATTCAGATGATCTTTAGCATTGGTTAAGGTTGATTCTTACATCCTCCACTTTCTTGTTTACCTCTTTGGGTCTGATAAATGCTTCACCACTTAGAAGAATTTAAAAACTAGAAAACTGGATACAAACAATGAAAAATTAACTATTCACATCATAAACATGATCATCTACACAATGCAGAAATCTAAAAAGGACTCAGGCAGCAGAACAGTTACCCTGCGTATAGCTTCCAAGGCATCTTTTTCAGCTTTCCCACGCCTAAAAGTTTCTTGATATGCATTTCGTGTAGCATTCGCAGACTCAGCCATAGCCTGTTCAAGTTGATCGTAGAGAGTATCATTCCTTCCACCATCCTGCTAGTGTTCAATCACATTATTCAGAATATTAGCATAAAGCTCAGGTATTAAAAATCTCTTCATCAATGAAAATTTAGATTTTAGAAAGTAAAAATATCTCCCATCTATTGAAAAAAGTCAACATGCAAAAATATGCACATGCTCCATAGCAAACACAAACATTGCTGAAAGAAAAAAGAATATTCGTGTACCAGTACACTAGGAGGAGATGGATGACGAACATCCTCTTTATTCACGCGACTCAAAGTCAAGTTTAATACATGCTCACTGCTCTCAGGAATCAAATTTGGGGTCAATGCTGGATCAATTGTACTATCAGAACATGTTGACAAACCTGAAGGGCTCATCATCCTCGACAGCCTATCTGATTCATCAGAACTTACTTCTGTAACCATCCTGCTACGTGGAGTTGAAAACACTTCACTGTTATCTGGAGAAGAAATGCTCACTCGATGTCCATCATTGGCAGACCTTACTCTGCGAAATAACTCTTGAACAGGATTTGTTAAATTTGCCTGACGATTTTGCCCCAGTGCAATCGTTTGAGATCTCAAAGGTCTCACAGAGTTTGGAACTTGCTGCACCGAAGGAGATGCAACCTCTACATTACCTTCATCCAAACTGCGATCCCTGCATTGATATGATACTTACCTCAGTAATTCAGTAACCAAACTAATAAAAACCAAGAGCAACCACAACTATTGGCAGAGATAACTTCAGCAGCAGAACATCCTAGTATTGAAATTATTAAATATTGAGCTTAGTATTCCTAGGCAACTACAAACCGTCCTTCATAATTACATTTATCTTTCACGTGACACTATATCCCTTGTACATCAGAACACGTTAATATTTTAGAAGGCCTCGTACCTTGTGTATATAAGGTGTCCTTTGCAGATAAAATATATATGACAAGAAGGTGGAGCGTGGTCACATACATATATGGCTTTCTTAGATCTGAGGTCCATCATTCTCCTGCAATGTCATGCAAGTGAGCTCATTGAAAACATAATATTGACATCACCAAAACTGATATAGAGATTGGAAAATTCTCAAGATACAAATAGTTAATCATCAGAACTTAAGAAATAAAGCACTATTTCTGCAAAATTACAAGTGGAATGGATTGGGAAAGGACTATGATTGCTCCATGCAACCAAAACATCCTTAGGGGAAAATAAAATCAAAGGGGAGAGATATAGTTCCAGCTCCATAGCTAAGAAAGTCATTGAACAAGTTCCAATCCCAGAACAGATAAGTATGGCTATTTGCATGCACAAGATTAGTGTCCATAAATCCAATAATTTATTTATCTTATTCCTTATGAAACACTAATAAATATCATCATCAGATTTCCTGAAAAATGAACAAAATAATATTGTGATTTGGGGAATTTTATCTGGCTTCTTACCTAGAATGGTACCTATCAGATGCTGCTCCCATAACAAGCTTTCGGATGCCATGCTGGGAGACAAGTTCTAAAATTCCTTTTTCAATGCTATCCATTTCAATATGCAGTTTCTCTGCTCGCACCTGTATTAGAAAGTTATTAGTGGAAAATTCAACAACTTTTGAAATTCTATGCATATAATAGAACTACAATAACAGTTACCCCCATCCGTTGACAGATAAGAAGATATTCATCCAGAATCTTATGCATGCTTTGCCTTTCAATTTCCCGGTATGCTCGAACTTCCTGATCTTTCATTTGACTTGCAGAAAATTTAGCACCCACTATAACCAAGAAAAATCAAAGTTATAGACCATTATCAGAAACCGAAAATTGTATGAATGACAAACATAGCACAGCAGAGATAGAACCTTCAAGAGTTACAATATATTACAGTTAAATTTGGTTCTTGAAATTAACTACTTTAGTGACAAAAACATACATCAAATGATCAATTTGACAAATGTCACCCAACAACATCATAAAGCAGTCAAGTAAATCTTTAACTACTAAAATTTAAACAACAACAACATCTGAATCTTAAAACTAGATTTCTAAAATTAGCCTTATTTGGTTTTAATTTAAATCACCTGGTAATTTCTAAAATAGTGATACTCAATGAAATATATTACCAAAATTGAGTCCAAATTGAGTCAGTTTAGCTGTTACCAAATTTCAAGCTTGAAAAAAACCAAGCAATTTAAGGTATCAAAATCAAACAACAAACACATATACATAAGTATAGCATATAAACACATATTTTCTGCAAACTTACTCATGGGGATCATTGTTGCAGGCACATGAACGTGAAGGATGCAAATCCTCTTTCCTCCAGAGTGCTGTATTGTCCATATCAGATTCAATTTGCTCTCTTTCACATCTTTTGCCACAGCAAAATAGATTGGCTCATCAACCAAAGCAAGATTAGGCTCATCTAAAACTTCTCCCCCAGCAAAATCGATTGGCTCATCAACCACAATCCGTTGAGTTGTTGCAGGCACACTCGCCACAGCCATCCTTACAGTTACAGATGCAGGAAATATAATCATAAAATCAAACACAACTAATTTTTAAAAATAAAAAATAAAAAAAATCAACTTTCTCTCTCTTTTTGCCAAAAAAAACTCAACTTTCTCTCTCAACTATTGGTAATTATCTCCATATGATACACCCCATAAACTTAATCATCAAAATCTCTCAAACCCACAAAAAATTGTTTCAAAAAGATTGAAACTTTCTATATCTTCAATTTGCACAACACAAATAGGATCCTCAAGAAAACCTTCCTCCTCCTAATAGGAAAAAGAAAACAACAAAAAAAGCTTAACCTTAACCCACTGAGTCCTAGCCTAACTCACTTTACAGTTTCACACACAGAAAAGTACACGTTTAAATAAAATCTTCAACAGAGTGATGGAAAACCCAAGAGAGTGGTGATAAAAAGAAAAACCCAATTGGTTGAGGGGGTTGCGAGTTTGTTTCAATGTCAGAACCTCTTCTATTCAACATTATGCGACTCTTATAAAAAGACAAAACTTGTCTTAACCTCAAACTGATAAACAAATTGCAGAAAAATAGAGATAAATGCTGACTTAAAACAAATGTTCTTACTCTTTATATAAAGTAAAAATTGAAAACATAATGTAATACAATCTATTTAAATTCTTTGCAAAAAAAAAAAATCTTAGAGATAGTTTTGTTTGTTAAAAATTATAATGCATTAAAGTGGTTACTTGTTAAGTTCATGAGGGTTGTATTTTCTATTTTATTAATACATTCAAGATTTTATAATTAATATTAAATAATTTTAAGAATTGCGCCAGAGATATAATATATAATTTTAAGAAAAAAGTGTTTGACATTTTAAATGACAGAAAGTTATGTCAATTTAAGAGAGATACAGACACAGAAAATTTGAATTTTAAATTAAAAAAACTATCCAATTTCTTTCTCCCATGATTTCCGTTTTGCTCTTTCTATCTCTTTCCTAAAATGACATAACTTATGTCATTTAATATGACAAACACCAAACTTATATTTTTAATATAAAAAAATTAAAAAGCGTGTTTATTTGTCAAATTATATTTCGTGGATTACAAATTTAACAATTTCAAAAGTTGCACTGATGAAATGGGTGGAAACTTTCAACGTCAAAAGTTGAAGAAGTTATAGTATTAGTCTATTAGACGAGTTCCTATTTAAGAACTTAATCAAATGCTTTATTTTTCATTTACAGTTTAATATTTAAATTAAATTATGCATACGAATTAATGTTTTAATCTAATGTTATCAAATTAATGCTTTAAGGATTAAAATAAGAAAAAATTATTAAGTTAATACTAATTTTATAAATTCAAAACATAACCAATATAGAATACTAAATTCACTTCAGAAAACAAACTGCAAATAAAGAATAACTCCAACTTGGGATGATTTATTTATTTTAATGCAAACACCAACTTCATATGCGAGTATAAGCCTATCGGAACAAATCACGTTAGGTCATATGTAATTAATTTATGATATTCTTTTTGGGGAAAAATTATTTTTATGTTGCAGGTGATAATTTTTTTTCCTACATACTCTTCGATAACTGTGTCACTTTTTTTTTTTTTCAGATAGTGGAGCTCACAAATTTACCTCTATAACATGAAATAACTTATCTTCTTTAACATGAGATTAATAAAAATCTTCTTTTTAATTACATAGGTTTATGAGAAAAAGAAGAACAATGTAGAAAGTAACATAAACATTAAAAAATACTGTGGTGGGTTCCATTCCATGGCTATCATCCTCCATGTCGTAGCTTCTAACTAATTGTACTAAAAAAACTAAGGACTTTGACTGCCACGATTCCCACAAAAAAAAAATTATCTACTCATATGTGGTAGTGTGAAATTTTTGAGATTCCCCAAACAAAATAACAGTGATAATCTTATTTACTCATATGTGTTATAAGATTTTTGAAAAAAATTTCAAGAATGTAATTTTTTCGTTATTTTACTTTGTGTATAATTTTTCTTCCAAAATATCATCTAAGAATACCACTAAAGGGGTGAAATTCTTGAAATCTTTGGTGTTGGAAAATTTTTATACTTTTTTGAAAAAAAAAATTCATAATATTTTGGCCTACTAAATAATTTTTTGATAACATTCCTTGGAAAATGACTTTCCCACTATATTTCTGGGAATCATAATTCTCGGACACAAAAAAATTTATCCCCTGCCAAACGCCCCCTAAATGTCATGGAGTTGAAATTTTTTGCCAAATTGCCATGGCTCCAAACTCTCTTGTAATTTTAGTGAGTATGGTTTGTCACGGGGTACGTTGACTCAGGCTACCAAACTCATTATCGTTTACAGAGTTTGGTGGTTAAAAGAGTCAAACTGCTATCAGACAGTCTGAAACTCACCGAGGGTAGCAATGGATTTAATGTGACACAAAATTTGAAATATTTTACCGTAAAACTCGATAACTTTTGACTCGAGTCTCCGAATTATATATTTTTTTCGAAGGGGATTTAATCAAAATAATTTCCCAAAAAATGTTTTTTTGTGCCTTGTTTGGCATATTTTAATTTTATTAATGATGTTATTTAAATTTTCTTTCCAACACTAACAAATAATGCTACGGGAATTTGTCAACGTGTAGCTCTTGAAAAGTTATGTGGAATATAAAAAATAACCTAATTCGGATATTCGAACCAAAAATTATGGCCTTATGAAATTTTATAATAAAATTATCAAAATTTTGTACCATGTGTCATCAGCGTATAAGTATAGAAATTCGCTGTCACTGACAACGAGTTCCACATTGGCTTTAACATGTCCCTACTTTTGGAGAGCATTTATTATGTTTCAGGACCATCATTTTTTGGATAGTCCTTTAGTGTAAATGGAAGGGTAAAAATGGAAAAGAGAAAAAATAGCAAGAATAAAAAGGGAAAGAAAAAATTGGTGCTACGAGAGAGAACACTAAATTATTGGGTGATCCTATGACTTAGCCTATAGTAAGCTAGGCTTGGCCTATTACAAATTGTTAAATTTAATATGCTTATACTTTTAAAAAAAACCTATTTAGAAAGCAAGTTATAGACTTTTTTATATATGTTGGGCTTATAAGTCTACATGCTAGTTTATATCATATTATTTATTTTAAATAAAATTATTATTTTAGTAATTTTGAATAATAAAGTAATATTATTTTAGTTATTTTTTAATTATAAAATATTTAATAGGTTTAAACAGACTAATAAGCCTAGGATAAGGCTGTTATTTTTTAAATATAGATCAGATCAATCTTATAATTTGAGACTACACATACTAATAACTAGTGGTGGAGCCAGCAAGGCATTCTAACTAGTGCCAAAAAATCCAGTTGTTGCCAAAATAGCTACGGTTATACAGTTACGATCAAAATGTGGCTAATTTTCAAAAAACTTAAAATATAATTTACTATGTTTCAAGTGTAGTGAAGTAAATATGGCTAAATTAACCAGTATCAAAGCACTTGTTAATACCAACGTGGCTCCGCCACAGCTAATAACCAAATCAAACTCATGCTTAATCTATTTAAACTAAGGGAAAAAGATTTCTCATGTTGCATGAGAAATCTCATTTCCTACCACTCTTACTTCGATGTCCGTGCCAATCACTTTTTTATTTTTTATTTTTTCTTTAAGGTGAGCCTCACCCCTTTCTCTCCCTGTAGGAAAACTTGCATTTCTCATACAACATGAGAAATTGCAATTCCTTAAACTAATGCCTAATTTAGTGTAATTTATTTATGGGTCCCTCTTTTCTCATGTTGTAGGAGAAAAAATTCTCCTACTATAGACACAATAAGTGATGGATCCCTCCTCTCATTACAAAACAAAAATAAAAAAAAATTATTGCATACATTTTGATGTTTTCTAGTAAGAGAAAGAATTCTCATATAACATGAGAATTCTTTTCCCCTTAATTTATACCCGTAATGGCAAATTGGCAGTGAATTTGGTATCGTCAGTTCGTCACACTTTGGCAAAAAAAATTGGCATCGTCTAAAATTTAACCACGTGACGTGATATTGAGATAATTTTTTTTGAGAATCGTGACAGAGTAATCAAAATTCCTAGCTTCTCTCCTTCTATCTTCAAGTTGCTTTCGGAAATGGGTTGTAACATTCAACATCAAAAGCTGTAACATTTAAGGACCGTTTGGTAACCCCCAAGGATAGCTTAGTTGGTAGTTGAGCTCCTAAGAAATTGTTTGGTGCAGGGATCAAACTCTGCCTCAAGCAATTTCTTGGAAAATCTTTGGGGGCCAGAGGATAAGTCAAAAAATCTTCGGTTGGGGGATTAGTCTCGTCTTTTCTCCGGTTGCGAAGCTTAGTGCACCCACTGTTACAATGAGAGGCTAGCCCAAACGGGTCGTACCCCGAGGACATGGTGCCCGGAGAAGATTGAATGAGGATACCTCCTGGCAATGTACCAAAAAAAAAAAGGAGCATTTGGTAAAAAAAAAATTCAGGATTTTTGAAAAATTAAGTTTTTTAAATTTTAAATTTTCAAATATTATCATATTGTAAAAATCATATTTATAAAATTCAAGATTTACGGCTAAATTTTATTTTTCTCTGCCAAACGATTAACATAGAATTTATAGCTGGTGAAAGTTCTATCTAGCAGAGCCTGCCCCACCTTGCTTAACTTAAAAATGAGAAGTTTCGTAGAAAGTTGAGTGGGCTCCACTGATTCTGGCGGGTAGGAATTCCGTGAGGATGGCCTATGATTATTCCCTTGTGGTCTCACCTACATCAGAAAAAGAAAAAAGCACACATTACTTGCGGATTCATCTAATAAATAAATTAGAAACATTAAATATAAATTGAATATATGTTTAAATTGGTTTTATCTATATATGTCATTAAAGATGTTGTTATGAAATTCAAGCATTGGCTTAAAAAAGTGTTAACCAAAGTTTAAAAAATATTAAATAATAAATATAAATGAATAAACAATGTAGTATGACTAGTTGAGGAATATGCGTTAGCCGTATGTAGATACTCTTTGTTAAAACCGTCTGGTCAGGTCTTCGTTGAAAAAAAAAACAAAAAACTTTGGCTCCTCTCAATGTCTGTCTCTCTATTTGTATAATTAATTTAAGTGAGATTGACGTAGATATGATTGCGAAAATCAAAGTTGTGATAACTTATAATAATGAATCCATTAGACTTAGCACTTTTTCTATTCTTAAATATTTAAATATATAAATTATATTTTTTATTTTTTATTTTTTATTTTAATATTTCCGTTAAATAATAGTATTTTAATTGCAATTATGTTCTTCAAATTTGAAGTTGTTTAATATCCTTCTCAACTCATAAGTCTAATTGACTTGGTCAAACACTTGGTTATTGGATTACATGCATATTTTTTGTTATTCTATATTTTTTAATAGAATGGTAGCTTGTTATACAAAACGGAAAAAATAATTTTATGTCATTTTAAATAAAATTATCGTATTTTGATATATATTTATTGACATTTTATATTCTTTTTTCTCCATAAAATTAAGAGGAGGAAAAAAAA